ATATATATATATATATATATATATATATATATATATATATATATATATATATATATATATATATATATATATATATATATATGCAATTGACGATCACAAAACACTGATAATTTTATGCGGAAAATCCACAGAGAAATATGAACCAATCGCAAGATATATATATATATATATATATATATATATATATATATATAATATATATATATATATATATATATATATATATATATATATATTAGTATATTTTGATAGCAGTCTTTCCTGTAGGCATGTATTATTAAATATGACCGAAAAAGTAAGATTAATATTCTAACACGAATTTTCTCAAAATTCATTTTTTTTTTTTAGTCTGACGCGACACTTGAGCGCGTTTCGTAAAACTTATTACATTTTTCAAAGACTTTAGCTTACACATACACAACTGAATAGAACTTACACATCTTCGATTTGTTTATATCTACATTTGAGTGAGGTGGATGGGGTGAGGTGGTATTAATAGGGTATTAAATTCCTAAACACAAGACAGAACACGAAACAGTGGGTATTGAATGGAAGTGATTTGTAGAAAGCCTATTGGTCCATATTTCTTGATGCTTCTATATTGGAGCGGAGTCTTGAGGTGGGTAGAATATAGTTGTGCATTAATTGGCTGTTGATTGCTGGTGTTGACTTCTTGATGTGTAGAGCCTCGCAGACGTCAAGCCGCCTGCTATCGCTGTATCTATCGATGATTTCTGTTTTGTTTACTAGGATTTCTCTGGCGATGGTTTGGTTGTGGGAAGAGATTATATGTTCCTTAATGGAGCCCTGTTGCTTATGCATCGTTAAACGCCTAGAAAGAGATGTTGTTGTCTTGCCTATATACTGTTTTTTTTGGACCTTACAGTCCCCAAGAGGGCATTTGAAGGCATAGACGACGTTGGTCTCTTTTAAAGCGTTCTGCTTTGTGTCTGGAGAGTTTCTCATGAGTAGGCTGGCCGTTTTCTGGTTTTATAGTAAATCGTCAGTTGTATCCTCTGATTGTATCCTTGTATCCTCCAAATGAATTTTGGAAATTGATTTTTGAATTACCACCAACAGTGAAAAGAAACGTACGAAAGATTGAGAAAATTCGTGTTAGAATTATTAATCTTACTTTTTCGGTCATATTTAATATATATATATATATATATATATATATATATATATATATATATATATATATATATATATATATATATATATATATATATATATATATATATAAATATATATATATATATATATATATATATATATATATATATATATATATATATATATATATAATATATATATATATATATATTATATATATATATATATATATATATATATTAGGTATTACTAGCAAATATACTGTGATTTATGTCTTAAACAATCGGTCGACCGGTAACTGCTGGTGACACTGTGTATGGATTGGCTCGTCGGCAGCTGTTGGGTTAAGAAGTGTCGTTCATGGCGCTTGCCAGTTCCACCCTAGTGGCTGTGTGAGGAGGGTGTCCGTGACGGCTGTGGGTGTGTTGTCCCCCGTGTGGGCGTGGTGCGCCTGTTGAGTTGAAATGGGGGCTTATCGACTTCCATTGCAGAGGACCTCGTCGGCTGTTCTGGCTTTTACGGTTCCAGTGGACCACATGTTGCATGGTGATGCCCTAGTGAATGTTCTACGTGTGCAGTTGTCGGAATTGGTGGGCATCCAGCTGCTTCAGGGAAATCGAGCTGTGGTCAAGTTTCACAATCAGCCTGCCTTTTAGACGTTTCTGGGGCGGTGTGAGGGCGCATGTTTACCCTCTCCCTGATGACGCTGGTTCTGTTAAGGTAGTGAACATCAGCGTCGCCTTGACGTATGTGTCGGTGGCTGGTGCCCCCTTCGAGTTTCACGACGATCTCCTAACTGCTTGTTTTGAACGGTTTGGTACTGTGCTAAGTATTCGTTGGAACATGGTACTTGCAGGACACTGTTGCGGAATGCTTGACGGCTCCCGCACCCTGACCATGTCACCAAAGAGTAATATTCCATCCTCTGTGTCCTTGTTGGGTTACACGCTCTGTTGCCTGTATCGGGGGCAACCGCACACCTGTTATAGGTGTGGTAATGAGGGTCATCTAGCTGCAGCGTGTGACGTGGGAGCAACTGGCAGAGTGCATATTTTTCGTGAGGAGGGATTTTCCACCCCTGTTGACTTCGACGCTTCTGAGGGCGGAGTGAGTGCTGTGCCTGACGTGCCTGATTGCCTGTCTGCTGCTCCGCCTGTTGTGGCAGGTACTATGCCTTGTACATCACGTCTGTTAACTGCTGTGGCCCGGAGGTTGTTGTTGCACCAGAGTATGTGAGTCTTGGGCTGTCGCCTGCGCTGCATGTGATGGATGTCCCAGTAGAAGTCCATGTTTTGCCCCCGCCTGCGGATGTGGTCCCGGCTCCCACGGGCGTGGGTTATTATGTTTTGGAGGGCCTGCTTCCGCCGTGGCCTGCCGAGGCTGTGTGTTTGGTCGCTTGTAGTTCTGATGATTTCCTCCCTTTGCAGAAGCAGTTGCGCCAGTGTCATGGGACAGTTTCCCAGGATGTGGTGGACCGCATGGGCGACGTGACCTCTGTGGGTTCTCCGGACAATGTGGGTGTGGACCATGTGGATGCGGTGATGGTGGCTGTGCCTGCAGAGGTGGCGGGAGGGGGCGGTGTGGTGCCTGTTCCTGCCAACATTTTGGATGTTGCTCCACTGCCCCCCCCCCCTGCACCTCCATGTGCCAGTTCTCCGAAATGGGAGGTTGTTGCATCTGCTGTGACCCCTGGTATGGATCGTGATTTGGTTCTCGTGCTGAGGAAGGACGCCGCCCAGGGTGACTCGGTGCCGTTTGAACCTGTGCCAAGGGATATACCACCGCTCATGATTTGAGGTGTCCTTGTCGAGGTTCCGGAGTATATGCGTCGCCCGCATTGCTCGGATACGGGTGTGCTCGTATCCGAACACATTGATGTTCATTGATTATTAATTAATGTATATATAAGAGGAATGCTGTTTGTGTAGTGGATCAGGCTACCGTGGTATCTCATTTATGTCAGGTGGTAGGTGCTTACATGTTGAGATGGGAATTTGAGACTCAGGTGCTTGTTATTGTGTTGCAGTATTTTACTGATTCCTCATCCACTATTTACATATGACACCACCACCCTGTAACTTGGGTTAGTGTACCACTGCACCGGGTTGGAGGCTGGTGTCACCTAGTCCAAAGTGTGTGCAGTTATGCCTATTACTTATTTCGATAGCTGTGTTAAAGCTCCTTGTTGTGATTAGAGTATTGATTGTATACTAGTCGTGTATCGGATGTATAGAGAACATTAGTTTCTCATTGTTTTACAGTGACTTGTTTAATGTCCCGGTAAACTTGCGTTGTTTTAACCAACCACCTTTCACTTTAACCTAGACACTTACTGAAACTTGACCAGGCTTTGGTTGTCAAGCGATGTTGTGGATCATGAGGTCATGACACCGGCATTCAGTACCACTTGGCTTTCCTTGTCACTTTCTGTACATGTCCCTTCTGTTTTCCTTAATCTTGTCATTTGGTCGTTCACTGACATTTTTTCTTATTATTGGACTATGCAGTAATTTCGGTTGATTTTTTTCGCTTTGGTCACAATAATTTATTAACAATATTCTAATGTTAATAAATTCATTCCTAGCTCTTAACATATATTCGTGATGTCTTCTGTCCTTTGTTCTCTTTACTTCTTCCACTCTCTTCTGCTCCTTATTTTTTATTTCTGTCACTGTCTATTAAACTATGGGTTAATATATTCCCTCCTACTTTTTTCCTTTATTGTTGGCATAAAACTCTTCGGCCTCCTAACATTTCTATATTACTAGGTTCATCTGTTTTCCTCTAAGTTCTTCCTTCCATTGCACTTCTCCCAGATATTCCCTTATTCTCCTGTAATCAATTTTCTTTTCCCAGACCTCTTTGTCCCGTAGTCATAATTTTAAATTCGATTATGTAGTCAAAGACTAGGACACAATTCTCACTTGGCTCCTAGTATTATTTCGAGTTTCAAATTTTCGATGCTGTTCCTCGTTTTGGGGTAAAATATAGTCTAGTAGGCTTGGTGAAGTCCCTCACCTTTCCCTTGTCTTTCTTGACATGCTGTGCAAGGAAATTTCTCTCTATAACTTTGTTATGATCTAAGGCTGCAGGAGAAACGAGTCTCCCTCTGAGAGTTATTATGCAAGACCTGACCTAACTAAAAGGTCATGGAGATATAGACCTGGAAATATACATGGGAAACATTTGATTAAATTTGACGAGTAGTTTAAAAACATGAGCAATGAATAAGAATATAAATAAATGAGAACATGAGATATGGAGAATTTGCTGGAGGTGTGAGGCTCGCTTCTGAGGACATTGACATCACTTGAGCTGAAGAAATCGTGGGGGAGGTCGTGCTCCGTTTGAGCCCCTGGTGAAGAAGAAGCCCTGTTTGATATACCTTCAAGAAGAAGGAAGTGGACAGTGGAATAAGTTTGTGGACGTGTCGGCTCAAGTCGTGAACTGCAGGAAGAGTTGTAAAGCAGTACTGAGGTATTTTTCGTTGGGCAGCTTGTGAGGCCCTGTCCAGCATGGCCAGGAAGCGCCCTCGACTGAGCAAAATCTGTGGTAAGCACATTTTTTCCAGTTGACAGTGATTTCCTGTGGTTGGTCGTGTGCCCAGTGGCCGGAGCAAGTGTTTACTGGTATGTTAGGTTGTTTTGATAAGGCAGAAAGCCTAAGTAAGATAATAGAGACGAGAGTACCAGCTGAGGTGAGGAGCTGTGTGTCCTCTCCCGCCGAGATCATGGAGGCGACTGACGTGGGACTGCTTCTGGCATCCAGAAGAGCCGCTCAGCGGCCGGGCAGAGGATGGACCAGCCCAAATGTAGGGGAGTCCCCTCACAACACGTGGGAAGTAGTGAGATGTCAGATGGTGACATTTATTATGTGTAGTTTATTTTAATTATATGTTTGTAGAGGAACATTTTTATTAGCGTGTCGATGGATTCCAGGTTTGTCAGGGGGAAGGAGTTGCTGAGAACTTCGAGCCAGTAGAGTGAGTTAGTGGAAGAGACTCCAAGACTCTTGAAGGAGTAGTGTACTCTGAGGAGGAGGAATAGCCCCACAGTGAAGAGTAGGACCTCGAGCTGTGAGGAGAAGCAGTGAAGAGGAGTGTCACGTGCTTCTGTAATACCAGTGGTGAAACACCAGTACTGTTCGAGGAAACTTCACAGTGGAGCAGCATGGATGGGCTGTAGAGGATCCTGGTAGATAATTGAGGAGGAGCCTGAAGACGTTCAGGGTAGTGAACTTCCAAGTGTAGAGAGGAGGTTCTTATTGTTTACCTATAGGGAGTTGGAGTGTTTGAGTGTCATTGGCGTGCATGACGCAGTGGGAGATGAGTGACTGACTATTTTTGTTATCGAGGAATGTTTATACTGGTGTCTATAGTGTTACAGCTATAGGCTGGATTCCTTGTATATATTTATTTATGTTCTAGGGCTGATAGTGCCTTATTGTATTGCAAGATTTTACCCACTTGGTGAGGTTGGTAGCAGAAGTGGTGAGTCAGGAGTTGGGCTACCACTTGATATAAGCAGCTGATACAGTCCTGATGGTATCGAAATGCAACGTGACTATAATAGCATAGTGTTGTAGTCATTATTGTATCTTGTGTGTGTTGTATATGTTCTCTGTATGTTAAATGTTTATAACCAGCAGGTATTTGCCCTTGTCCTGGTGAGGCTTCCCAGAAAGTAGGAGAGAGAGAGAGAGAGAGAGAGAGGAGAGAGAGAGAGAGAGAGAGAGAGAGAGAGAGAGAGAGAGAGAGAGAGAGAGAGAGAGAGAGAGAGAGAGAGAGAGAGAGAGAGAGAGAGAGGGAGAGAGAGAGAGAGTGAGAGGGTGAGAGAGAGAGAAAGAGGGGCGAGTCTCAATCCTCCTCATTAGTTTTGCGTTATTTGCAAACATTGACATATTAGTTCCTGCAGTCAAGCTCTCTATAAATAATTAAATAATAAATAAATACATGTTTATTCATGTAAAAGTACAACATATAAAATGAGTTATAAACAGAAAGTTAGATTTCTAAATATAGTTAGTTCATAAATGTCATAAACATACAAACAATTACATAAATGAGGAATAGTATACGATCCGGCATCGATCCTTCAGCCTGTTACTCTACGCCAGTCGACTGATGAAGATTAAGCCACCCAAGAGGTGGCACGAACATGAATATCTTGTAATACGCTAGTAAGACTCTTCAGTTCTCACTGTCACTCTCAGACACCTGTCCGTTAGGTAATTCCTTGCTCATGTTAATGTGTTGCCGCCAACACCCACCTGCCTCGCAAGTTTGTATAGTAACCTCCTGTGTGATTCTGTATCAAAGGTCTTTCTCGCAGTCCAGAAATATATAATCCGCCATGCCCAGCAAGCAAAAAACAAGGAATGGAGGAAATACAGAGGGCATAAGACAGAGGCAAACCGGATTAGTTGCAACAGAACCAGGAATAATTACATAAACATAAGAAGATTAGCAAAAATAAACTATGAAAATTATATTGTCTCCATAGCAATGAGGCAACTGAAACTCCTATATAGGCATATAAGAAGGAAAATAAAAATGAATGACAAAGTAACCAGGTTACAAAAAAGAGGAGGCCAGTATACAGAAAATTATAAAGAAATTTGTCAGTAGCTCAAGGCCAGCTTGCATAAAGTGTTCACT